CTCTCTCTGTCTCAGTGTGAGGCAGCTGAAAGAGCCCTGAATGGTGGGCCTTCGTGCTTCCCCTCCTCGGGCCCCTTTGCTATTTCTGTGCTGGGCTCACGTCACGCTCGGGTATTTTCTCCGGTGACCGGCTGCATCAATAGATCCGTTAAATGTACGCCCGGTGATGGGACTCTTACTCGGTCATTTCGCTCCGTACTGTCGCCCAGGCACCTCCAGAACGGACAAAATGGACTAAAAAAGGCCCAGCGGGGGTCCTGAATGTGACCGTGGACATGGGAACGGGGGCTTTTCAAATGTCAGGTTGGTATCAGGATTATTATTTGAGGTGTGAATGTCAGCTGCTTTCTCTCTCTCACCCCCCCGCTGTGTGTGTGCTTCATGTGGGATTTTTTTCATGGATCCTCTCATTGTCTCCCCCGTGCATGCGGACATAGTGTACCCCAGTTTAACCACTGTACCACCTGCCGCTGTGTGTGGACTTCATGCTGTGTCATATGTTCTGCATGTTACACTCTGGAGGTTTGCGTTATCTCTTATCGGGCTGTCACTCTGCACCCGAGGATGGAAAATACTAAGCAATGAGGTCAGGTCGACCTTGAAGTGTGTGAGTGTGTGCGTGTGTGTGTGCGTGTGTGTGTGTGTGTGGGGGGGGGGCTCCCTGCTGCCAGGCCTTTGAATGTGTGTGTGTTTTTACCCCCACTTTAGTTCATTCACCTCCCTGTTGAAAACACAGATCGCCATCCTTCATTATCCGCCTCTCTGTAGCGCTGCAGCGAGAGGCGTTCAAATCCGTCCGGGAAAATGTGTATTTGAGGTAAAATTGGAAAAGCTTTTTGTTATTTTTGTTATTTGTATTCAAAGATTCAAAGGCTTTATTATCTTATGCACAGCTTCAGTGTAGATGTGGTGATGGGAATCTGAAGTCCCAGGCTTCTAAGCAATGCACATATAGGACATAAATACATTTCAAAGACAATACAAATGGGCAAGAAACAAATTATACAAATTAAACATTTTATAATATATATTGATAAAGAAAGAAAAAATATGAAGAATAATCAATAATATAAATATACAGAAAATATCATATCTACTGTAAATATGAACGAATAAACAAGAAGAAAAATATATAACTAATAATACATTAAAAAAAATAGCTCTAAAATGTTCGACATGCCAGTTCAAATGAATTCAATTTGTTGAAGTAATAACTTATTCATTATTATTATTATTATTATTATTGTTGAATCACACAGCCCTCGCCATCCTTCATTATCCACCCTCTCTCTAACCATAAGAGGCGTTCAAATCAGTCGGAAAGCAGAGCTGCGGGAGCACAACACAGCCTAAAATAAAGCTGAGAAAAGGGAGCCTATCATCCCTGAACGTCTCTGTGGAGTCACCTTGGTTATTTAGCGCCTGAGGAGGAGGAGGATGTCCTAATTAAGGGGAACTCAGAGGGTCTGAACCAGATAATCTTATGTAACCTCGTTAAGAGGACAGCGTCTGAAACGGAGACGATGGAGACGACCTCAGAGGCTAAAGATGTGAAACCGGAGAGAAGAGGGATTCACTTTGAGAGGTTTCCGGACGTACACAGATATATGCAAGTAGAAGTACAGATACTCGTGTTTAAAAATACTCTGGTGAAAGTAGAAGTACTGACTAAACTTCTTTACTCAAGTCAAAGTAAAGAGGCTTTGAAATACTCTGGTGAAAGTAGAAGTACTGACTAAACTTCTTTACTCAAGTCAAAGTAAAAAGGTTTTGAAATGTACTTCAGTAAAAAGTACCCATAACTAGCAGCTGTTTTAAAGAGTACCTGAGCTCCCTTTATATTAATAGAACAATAATGTCATTGTTAGCTNGTGTGCCTTGGCAGTCTCAGTTTCATTGAAGTGCAGGTATCAGGCCAATCTTTTTAACTTGTATATATTTCCAAATTAGTTATCCGTCCTCATTGGGCCTATCAGTATTCCATGACTCTTTAACTGCTATTTATTGAAGCGTTTTTAGTTTAGCCTCCTACCTCAAGACAGACAAACTGTGTGAATCTAGATGGTGTGTTTAATGGGGAGAAGAACCTGAATAGGATCAATTTGCCTGTAAAAAGATTTTGTGATGTTATAGCCCATTTCATTACTTGATTAATCACGAAAATGGTTGTAGCAATATATATTGAGGTAAGTGTTACAACCCGGCTCCCGGGCTGTAACAAAAAGCAGGGAGGCGAGACGAGGTTTGTAAATAAAGAAGACGTTTATTTTAAATGCCACACAATGATCCAGCAGCACCAGCAACAGATCCCCGAAGCTGGCCCGGCGTGAGTGACGGGGGAGTGAGACAGACGTAACCGGCTGGGCTCCTCTTGAAGGCTTCCGGCCAGGTGTAGCTCATCAAGCTTCATGCAGCTCGTCCACAGGTGTGACTCATCAACAGCTGCAGCTGGAACCTGCAATCAAACACAAACACACACACATCCAGACGGCACCCCACGCGGTGTGGAGGGGTCGTCACAGTAAGCCACATAGAAGACTTAAGCGATTAGAGTACATTGATGTGAAGCATCTTCCAAATGAGGTGATGGCCCCAAAACAGTGACAGGACAAGGTTAGGGTTAGGGATGTAACATGCTCAGTGCTATCTGCTGGACAAATAAACTAATGATGATTTTTAAATGACCTCAAACATTTCAAGGACCAGTAACAAATATATCTGTGATTATCCAGGCGACAATCAATTTGGTCAAGCCACTCATAGTTTTTCAGACGTAACCCCATGTAATGCCTGCTCTGTGTTTCAGTGGGCAGTTTGCCATTGTAAAGCAATGCAGAGAGAAAAGCACAGGGCTGGAATTCGCCGCCAAGTTTATCAAGAAGCGGCAGAGCATGGCCAGCTCCCGAGGAGTGCGGCGGGAGGAGATAGAGCGGGAAGTGGACATCCTGCAGCAGATTCAGCACCCAAACATAGTCACGCTGCACGACGTCTACGAGAACCGCACTGATGTGGTGCTCATCCTGGAGCTGTGAGTGAGGGGGATCAGTTTATTTGAAGTCACAAATGTATTCATAGTACTGTTATTAAAGCATGTTGCTGTTAATCATAATATATAAAGCGTCTTTGGCTCATATCAAACTGGTAGGTCAGTCAACACAACCACACGCTGTGATTTAGAACAGGGTTCAAAACTTTATTTGAAATGTTATTAGACACCCTTGGGTCAACAAACATACCTATTGGCTACATATGCCAAATAAATCACTGGACTGTGTGTGTGTGTGTGTGTGTGTGTGTGTGTGTGTGTGTGTGTGTGTGTGTGTGTGTGTGTGTGTGTGTGTGTGTGTGTGTGTGTGTGTGTGTGTGTGTGTGTGTGTGTGTGTGTGTGGCAGGGTATCTGGAGGAGAGCTCTTTGACTTCCTGGCACAGAAGGAGTCTTTGAGCGAGGAAGAAGCCACTCAGTTCATCAAGCAGATCCTGGAGGGGGTGAACTACCTACATGCAAGGGAAATCGCTCACTTTGATCTTAAGGTGTGTCCAGACACGTTACACGGTTTTCCCGTTCTAGAAGAGGTTCGAGGTTCTTTATCGTCAAACTAACATAGCTACAGAGTAATTATGTCGTTGAAAATCTTATGTCACAGGCTTCTCCAACAATGCAACACAATAATACAGATAAGCAGACAATATTAAAGCAATATTAAAGTATATTATATTAAAAGTAATACAAAAAGAAAAATAGTTCTAAAAAAAGTGAGAAAGTGGAATAGTGCAATACGAGTCTATACAAGCTATTGGAATGATATATTAACTTGTATATAGACTCGTATTGCACTATTGCACTTTCTCACTTTTTTTAGAACTATTTTTCTTTTTGTATTACTTTTAATATAACATACTTTAATATTGCTTTAATACCACAAAAGAGGTCACATTTTCAAGTTTCAGATTCACTCTCAATCGACCTCATTCAGCTTAGCTGTGACATTTCATCAAAGCGGCAAAAGCTTATTTTCTAACTAAAGGATACTGCTCATAATGATTCAGCATATTTTGTTCGGCAAAAGAAGGAAGGTTCATTTTTACAGCAAAGTTCACAATGTGCAAGGCAACTTAAAGAAAAAATATTAAAAAATATATATATATATGAAAAATATAGTGCAAAAGAAACCCAGTATTCAAATATATTTATTAATCAAAAACAAAAAGAGTATTTTAAATATTATTACTAATATGATTTGTACATACTATTCCACATTAAATCAATACAATGCTGCATTGAATGGTTTTGGGCACCTTTTCCTTCACATTTTGTTTCACTTGTCAGAATTAAGATAGATGAATCTAAACTTGACTTGACGAAGACTCAAATGAGAAATGATCAAAAGCTCCAGAACAGACACTAAATCGACCTTTGTAAGATCATTATCTCCTGTTTCCCAGGTAAAAATATAACTTCAAACTCCAGCAAATGTTTTTTTGGGTCCATCTTGACTCCCTTGAGTTTATTTTTCTGTAAAGAGGAGCGAAAATGTTTGGATGTTTTTACTGCTGCTGTCCAAGTGGAGGTCTAACGAGGACGATGACCTTGTCACTTTAGTAAATTACAGGACACATATTTGTTCCACTAGGTGGAGCAATAAGGTCTGTTTAATGTAGAAAGTATAAATTGCTACATTTGCATACAAACGTAGCTATTTCCTGCGTGTCTATTTTTTCCTGATTTTTGATGAGGATGAAAAAATGTGTATTATGTCAAATAAATGCCTTTCTCTCTCATACCTGCAGCCAGAAAACATTATGCTGCTGGACAAGAATGTGCCGTTACCAAGAATAAAACTCATAGATTTTGGTCTCGCCCACAAGATTGAAGCCGGGGTTGAGTTCAAAAACATATTTGGAACACCTGAGTTTGTAGGTAAGACAATGTTTTTAAACAAACTCAACCAAGAAACAACAGAAATGCCATCAAGCATCACTCACCGGACAGTCAAAAAATGACATACAGTAAAACTGCATTCTTCCTCTCATCTATTTGCCTTTCAAGCACCGGAGATTGTCAACTATGAGCCACTGGGATTAGAAGCCGACATGTGGAGCATTGGGGTCATTACCTATATCCTGCAAGTGAACCACAAGCACCATATTGTCACTTCTACTGCAGCTACCGTCAAACTGGGTGATGAACTTCTCTCTCTGCTCTTTTGTTTTGCTCCAGGCTGAGTGGTGCTTCACCTTTCCTGGGAGAGACCAAACAGGACACTCTGAGGAACATTTCAGCCATCAATTATGAGTTTGATGAGGAGTTCTTCTGTCACACCAGTGAGCCGGCCAAGAAATTCATCAGCCAGTTGTTGGAGAAGGATAAGAGGTACAAATAAAATGACATTGTCCTTATGACAAGGTTGTGCGTCAACAAGAAAGTCAATCTCTGTCTTGCTTTATAATTGATTCAGAAGGAAGACTCTTAGGTCAGATGTAGTGCTACATGTTGAGGAGGTGGATGTTGGGGACCAGTGTAAATGTCAAATCGCCCTGAATTAAGAAAATATAATATGAATTAGTTTATTGGATTGAATTGAATTGAATAGCCACTCAGTGATTATATGTACGATCATCATTTTTTGGACTTTCACTCAAATGTTCTCTTACAGGAAAAGATTAACAATTCAAGAAGCTCTTAATCATCCATGGATCAAGGTAAAGAAAACGAACTCTCTATATTTTATTTTTTATCTTTGTCTGCAACTTATATTACAGGTATTGGAGCCTGAATTTGAGATTAAATCAACATTTTATTTATTATATATTTTATTTAACATTTATTTCTAGATCTAAACTGCCTGTAGAAGGTTTAATCAACTGCTATATGTTTTCCTTCTTTGCTTGAAAAAGGGATATTTTAAAAACAGATTAATTCGAAGTTTTTGAATTTGAATCTGTCCCTCGATCATTATTTGACCAGAAACGTTGCAATTTGGCTCTAAATATTGCACTTTTCTTTTGGCCCTCTGCAGTTTACACATTGGTTAGGGTTAGGAGGTTAAATCATTGATTTGTCAGCCCATAGTATGTCCAGCTTATTTTCCATTGTATTTTCATCAATCGTAGAATATGTGTAGAATATTCACATTTCTGACTCTGCATTGCATGTATTTGTGCCTGGTCCTCCCTCTTTTGGACACAGATCCTAACTCTCCTTTCTTTATCCCTAAAGTCCAATGAGCACAAGGAGGAGAATAAAGCCAAGGAGCCAAAGAAACGGGAGCGGCGCCAGCTGAAGACAAAGCGCCTGCGGGAGTACACTATCAAGTCCCACTCCAGCATGCCACCCAACAACACCTATGTAAACTTTGAGCGCTTTGCCCAGGTGGTGGAGGACATTGACCAGATGGAGAGCTCATTTGTCAGCCTGGCAGCAGCCCATGACTCCCTGCAGGAAGACATCGATGCCATGGTCTCCATATATAATGAGAAGGAGACCTGGTATAAGGAGGAGAGTGAAGATGTGCGCCATGAGCTCTCGCAAATCCGCTACGAGTTCCGTAAAGTTGAGGCCTATAAGAGGAGCCTGCAGGACGACATGCAGGCCTTCAGCTCCAGCCTCGACGGAATCAGCAACCGCTACCAGGAGAGACAGAACCACTTCGAATCGCTGCGTCAAGAGCTCAGCAATGAACTGAAGTGGGTGCAGGAGGTGATGGGTTCATTTCCCATGGATGGAGGTGGTGGAGGATACCCCAACCGCAGCTTCTCCAACGTCTTCAACAACGACGTAAATGAAGCCCTGAAGGAGCTGCTGAACCGCTCCTGTGGAGGAGAGCTGCTGTCCGGGATCAACCTGGACTTAGAAACCGGACAGCAAAGATAAATGCTTCAGTTATTCAATAACCATTTTAAATCATGGTGACTAGTAAAATATAAGAAATAAGGCTTTCAAAAGGGTTTAAGTTCTACCTACAACCATTTGCTTCTGATGAGAACATCAAGAAAGAGTTCCCTTGTAGGAATAAGGGTTCAATTAAGAACCTTTTTCTTCCAAGTAACCATTTTTGGTAGAAAGAGTTCTTGAATGATTGATGACAGCATGGGTGTTAATAACATTCCTGGCCACACCCCCATAATGAATGTGATCCAAGAATGTTCTGGGTAGCCTCATCAACCTGGTCCTTAAAGTAGCCTATATCAAAGACTAAAGCCACTGGATATGGTTTCCATAGAAAATAGCTGATATGTTAAAGTAGAACCAATTTTAGGTTGCTCGGACTTCCCTAACCACAATATGTAATTAATGGGATTCAATCATTTTGGGCTCTAAAGTACACTGCAATGTGGTTCTTCGAGAATTCTCAGAAGAGAGGGTGATAATGGGTGAAACCCTTTTAAAAAGGTTCTGTTTAGGTCCCCTGTGAATGTTCTAGATACAATCCTTATAATATAAAAGGATTCCCAGTAAAACATCATGGGTTTTTGGCAGCACCTGTATACAGTGTAAAGGTT